AAGTCCTCCTTGAATACTGGGTGCTGTTTGGTCCATGTTGCAGTTTGGTTCTGTGGGATGCGATGCTGTCGTGACCGTGATCAAGTTTAGTGTTCTTGATGCTGTTGGCATCAGTGGCCTTGGGATCAACACCTTTAGAATCTAGAGGAAAGATGTAGAGGAAGAAACAGCTGGAATGTTGTCCAGACAACCTTAGGCCACCCTACAAGAAGCTGTGAGCTAAAATGGTGCACAAGGATCTTCCTGCCTTGTGCTGGGGCCAGGCCTTTGTACCTCCACTTTGGTCAGTCATTGCACACCAGCTGCCCCCAGAAGGCTGACAGATTACCCACGGGCAGCAATTCCTCCAGCTGGGGCAACACGCCTTGAAGGGGGATCAGGTAACACATCTGCATGTCCACTGCACCTGTCACAGCCCAAGTATTGGGGATGCACTTAAGTCACAATGACTCTACACAAGGCAAATATCCAATCCGTATTCCCTAAGGTCAGCACAGTTTTCATCTCTTCCAGGAAGCTATCTTAGGCTCACTCTTGGGATTGGGCAACTCCTATGTATTTCCATAATGCACTGAGCACACCTCATTGATTGTAATGACCACAGACAGGGCTCTTTCTTGGAAGGGCCCAGCACTTGGCTGAATGCCTTGTTGATGCCATCTTGAAATTCTCAATTTTTAAAGGCCCTGTGTTTTCATTACACTGGGTCCTATAAATTAGGTAGCCTATCCTAAATATAAGTGTTTCTGGGTCTGTTTCCTCATTAAACCAAGTTTCTGAGGACTTGAACCACCTTTTCATTTCTCAGCTTACATCTGCTAGTGCAATTTGTGTCACATTGTGACAATAAATGTTTGCTGAATGACTGAGAATACTCCCTCTGGACTTGTAATTACAAATTTTAATGAATAGCCTGGGGTAACAGAACCCTGGTTGGGAGCCTATCATATAGATAGTCAGTTCCATCTCTGCCACTCATTGGCAACATAGGGTGACAAAGAATTTACTGTCCAAAGTAGGACACTTGAAAGTGACATGGAAGTGCCACTTGCCCCAAACAAGGTGCTAGGACAATAAACTGGGATCATCCTTGACAAACTGGGATATGGTCACGCCACAACCATGCAGCCTTAGTTACATGTGTGGGCAAGTTTCTACCTTAATAAACCTCAGCTTCTGTATCTGTAAAATGGATCTTCTCCCTGCCCTTGCACACTTATTGATGGATCAGAAGCATACAGGGAAAATAAGAAGAATGGAACCAAGAGATACAGGCACTGACCATGGACAGGAAGAAGGTCCCTTTCCACCAAGAGAGGTGAGTAAGTGAGGTGTGTATGAAGGCTGTTTGTAAACTGTAGGAGGTATATTTGAGGAGGTCTTTTTCTGATGATCCAAGCTGAACTATTCTTTTTTTTAATTTTTTTTTTTAGAGAATTTTAATACATTTTTTTTTAGTTTTTCGGCGGACACAACATCTTTGTATGTGGTGCTGAGGATCGAACCCGGGCCGCACGCATGCTAGACGAGCGCACTACCGCCTGAGCCACATCCCCAGCCCCACAATTAGAGAATTTTAATTTAAAATATATAATCGATAGGAGAGTTTTATCAATGCTATGTTTCCTGGTTTATTCATTATACCATGCAATGTAAGAAAATATTTTTATTCTTAAGAAATATACATTGATGTTGTTATGGTATAGATGTGGTGTCCCCCAAAAGCTCATGTGTGAAACAATACAAGAAGGTTTGGAGGAAAAATGATTGGGCCATAGCCTTAACCTAATCAACGAATTGATTCCCTGATGGGATTAACTGAATGGTGACTGGAGACAGGTGGGGTGTGGCTGGAGGAAGTGTTTCATTGGGGTATATATTTTTATCTGAAGAGTGAAGACCTCTCTCTCTCCTTCCTGATCACCATGTGAGCTGCTTCCCTCTGCCACACACTCTGCCAATGATGTTCAGCCTCATCTCAACCCCAAAGAATGGAGCCTGCTGTCTATGAAACTATGAGTCCCTGAATAAACCTTTTCTCCTCTACAATTGTGCTGGTTGGGTGTTTTAGTTACAGCAGCAAAAAAAAAGCTAACTAAAACAGATGTCTTTAGATATGAAGGACCATTGTGTCTGCAACTTACTCTCAAATGTTTCAGCACAAGTGTATATACACGTTATTTATATACATAACATGATTCTGAATCAAAAGATTATCAAGACAGAAAACAACTGTAGGAAACAGTGTTATGTGAGTGAACCTAGATGAAGGATACATCGGAGTTTATGGTGTTATTATTGCAACTTTTCTATTGACTTAAAATTTCGTTCAACATAAAGTTAAAAACAATATTTTCCACAGCTCCACCACTGTGTGAAGACTCCACATCTAGATAAACAAGAGCTGATGACTATATGCTTCTACAGAAATCATCAGACGAGTTTAATTTTGTGAGTATGGTTTGTACAGCTCCTTCTAAACTGAAGCACTCAAATTTAGCTTAAGGCAAAGGCACAGAAATATGCATACCTGTGTGGCATATGCATGTGGAGTCAAGTGCCTGTGCAGCACCTAGACCTAGGATGCAGGCAGGTCCACATGCGGCCACTCCCTCCAACAGTGGGTGACTGCTGCAGTCCTAGAAATCTGGCTCATCAGCAATTCTGCATTTGGCATTACTATACCTCGAAAAATCACATACTGTATCTCTCCTGTGTGAAATAATTTTGTTAGCAGAGGGCACCTGGATAATGCTGTCCTTGTGATGACAGCTGAGTTAGGAGTGGATGCCTTGCATCTCTGCCAAAAGTTAAGCACAAAGCACTGCTAGCTGCTCAGCCAAAGCCATGCAGATGATTCCAACTCTGTTCCAGTTGAAATTCATTTTATTCCAACCTCTCTGTTTCCCCACCATACATGGCTATTTCTACCTGGAGTTG